AGAATTAGGCTTGAGATGAATTAATGAGTGTACATTGAGCATTGACCCCCCTATACTGAATTTTATTGTTGTTAACAACCATTTGATCAATAAATATGAGAGATGCCCTCTCAAAAAATATATATATATATATATATGGTTTCGGGAGGAGATTTCCACTGCCCTGTTCACGCCGCCATCTTGGCTCCTCTCTCTAGTTTTTTTTTACCTCTACTTTACGTGTATTTTTCCCTAAAACATGCTTAAGCATAAATAGGAATTGATTTTATCTTTTGGATGTCTCTTTGCTTTAAGCTGCTTTCTTTAAAGAATACTGATGTTACTCGCTTTTTCCTGTGGTTGTTAATGTCTATTACTATATACTATTGGCTTATCAATTTTTATCCTTTTTCATTTATTGTATATTTTGATGTTTTTTTTTTTCATTGGTATGGTGGAAGGAAGAAAGATAGCTCTTTAACTGAACAAACTTTCCATTTACTGAAGACAAGTCACAGGTGGGTGATAAAGAGAAAAGAAATGGGCTTTAGATTCTCACAAGACTGGGTTTAATTCGTAGCTTTCCTACTTTCTAGGTTTGTGCTCTTGGGAATATTACTTATCAGCACCAGTATGTTTCTTGATATGAAAAGGAGAATATTAATACATCCTTTAGGGGTGGTTGTGTATAAGTAAGATTATAGATACATCATTTAATTTAGTGCTTAGCACATACTTAGCATCTTAACTGCAACTATGAGTATTACCATTCTTACTAATATTATTTTAAGCCTGCAAATAGCTTTTATGTATCTGACCTCTAGCTGACTTTTTGAAGTATACTCTATCAGACTAAGGAAGAAATGGGGAATTCTTGATTTAAATCTTCACCTACTTCAGATAAGTCACCTCACCATACTTTCTTGTCCATCAGAGAACTTTAAAGTAGCAACTTATATGACATAATAACCAAGTGGGACAAAAGGCTTCCTTTTTGTCTCTTCATGTAAGTCTTGGAGATAATTTACAAAGATGAACCCTTGAACATGTGAATGTTCAGTTCTGCACAGGCAGGCAAGGTTTTAACTTGGTAAAGTATATTGATATAGCTATTTAAATAACTTAATTAAAATTCTTAAGGGTGAAGTTATTTCTCTGTTGTTTTAGAATGACACTCATGTATGCTGTAATAAATGGATCAACAAATATAGTCAAGCTTCTTCTTCAGCGAGATATTAATGTCTCCTCTCAAGATACCTGTGGATACACTGCAGAAGAATATGCTGCTATTCATGGTTTTGATATGTAAGTATTTACATTACAATGCTAGCTACCACTCAACTGATGTTTAAAATACTTTAACTATCATTTAATATGTAACAGAAGAGATTTCATAGTTTGAGTCAGGCAGTTTTGGAATGGGAGTGAGTTAGTCCCCGTGATCAGCCAGAAACCCAGCAAAAAACGAGACTAGAGGTAGCAATGGTGCCTGGTTCTTTATCACAGAATGTTATGACTTTTAAGACATAACATTATCCATTCTATTCCAGATATAAGTCCTATGCATGGCACACAGATAATGTCACATGTCTGATTTTTCTAACATTACCTGGCCATGTTCAAGATAGTAGAAAATCCTGTGCTTTCCCCTGGGGACTATTTCCTATACTCTCCCCTTTGCATTTTCCAAGAACCTAAGGGATTCCCTAAGACCAAAGAGACAGTATTACGTAAGTCACTTGGAGTGGGGGAGAAGGACATTCTAATCACTCTGTTGTTTCCACTGATGGTTCTGCTGCAACCTTGCAACTGAAACAGCCCTGCAGGCAGCCCTGATTAACCTTTGCTCCCAGGATGCCCTTGCCATTCTAGAGTCCTTGGACTTCTCGGTGATATACACTTAGACTAAAAAAGCTACACCTTTCCTCAGCTCACATACATATGCTTGTATGCTATTGGGGAGCACCAGTACCCTGTTCTGGCAGCTGGGCCTGCAAGCTTCAACCACACGCTTTGCGTACCGTCAGAACCTTATGGAGGGCTCACATCCTGGCTGAGATCTTCACGATGAGTCACCCTTTGAGGATCTTGTCTGTCTGTCCTGTTTGTAGATACTAGTTGGGACCATTAGCTGCTGATACTAGCAGAGAGGTTCAGATAATGCTGCTGTAAGAGAGCAAACTTGCTTTTCTCCTTGGATGTTCTGTACACACCAGAGCTTCAGAACCTGTGGAGCACCTTTCTTTGTTATGAAATGCCTTGTGTTACCCTTTCAGAGTAGTGGGCAACAGCTTGCCTGAGATTCCATTATTAAGGTTGGCCTGTTAAGTGGACTGTTTTCCATAATAATAAATATCTCCCAAGTGAATTGAGAGGATTTCAGGTTTCAAAATACTTTCAGATTCTGCCTCATAAGAAAGTCAGCCATAAAATTCAGGAATCTCTGAATATTAAGTAGGTTAGTTGGCATTAGGAGAGCTAAGCCCCATCTGTCTCATCGGAACCCACATACAAGAGTAGGGGTCAGTCTTCCAAGTCAATTGGAGATGAACATGGAGATGAAATGTCATTCAAATAAGGATCTGCTGGTTCAGAGTTTGAGTAGATGGAGAAGGAATAGTAGCAGTTGAAGCCAGGTTTTGACTTGGAGTAGTTTTCTACCCTTGGTGTGATTAGCTACAATGATAGGGGACATTACATCTAATGTGATGAGATAATATATTGATAAATAACTTTATAATAGCTGAGATGCTGTGAATTCCCACGAAGAAAGAACAGCTGACAACCAGAAATAGTAAACATTTTCAAAACACAGCAACTAATCTGTCAGAACCTGTGAAAACTCACATTGGGTTTTATTTACTATTCCAAAATAATTTCAAGTTAAAGAACAAATCATTCCATTGCACAGGTGTTTCTCTGAGCATTTTGGGGATACAGTAACTCCTGAAACCCTCCTAGCAACCTTGTAAAATAAGGTGGCAGGATCCCTACTTTCTAGAGCAAGACTTTGAATTGAAGAGAAGCAGCTTATCCAAGAACAAGTAGCTGTTGGTTACAGAGCTAGGCCTTCTGCGTGCAAGATACATCCGTATGGCCAGCTAACTCTGAGTCATTTACTGAGCCGTAGTGCCCTCACTTCATGACTGGTCCACCTTACTATCTTACTATTTTCCTTCTCTAATTATTTGCTTACTAAAAAGTTTGTAGAACTTACAAATTCAGAGTATATGGGCTAATTAAGGTTTTTACATTAGCTGTGTTATTATCCAAAATACTCTTTAGAGTTTAATATATTTGGTAAATGTTTTCTGTATCAATATTGAAATAGTAATATTTATACCCTTTTTTACACATAGCATCTTGCAACTAATTTGTAAATATTCAGAGGAAAATGAAGCTAAAAATTCTTCTCAAAATTATCAAACCTCTTCTCCAGGTAAGAGTTGAGACAGTGAATTATTCTTGGTAATCCTACCATAGATAAAGTGTAATAAGGAAGTTTTCATAATGAAAGAGCAATGAAGAAAAACAGTGTATAAGTTGCATGTATTTTTTCTTTCTTATTTTCTTTCTTAATAGTCCAGTACTCAGAATTATTTATGAAGCTAATTGTAGGTAATTCAAAATCTGAGATGGCATTGTTTGAAAAGGAATTCATTTATTTAGCCATGACCCCTAAAATCCCATATGATATTTTTGTGTAAATAAGAGATTTTTAAGTTAATATGTTGTATGTTTCCTCTATATCACATTATAACAAATTGAACTTGTCATAATAAAGTAAAAAATAAAGTTAAAAAAGGATAAAAACAATTTTTATTTGTTTTACAACAAATGGATTACATTAAGTAAATGAATGTTTCTTATTACATAGTGATTTATCTCACTAATAAAAATAACTATCTTTAAAGCTGGGAACTCAGCAATAACTTCCTGGAGCCATCATAAATGGCAGACAGTCAGAATTGCATAATTTCATTGGTGTGCAGAAATACCAGTGAGACAGGCTCTTAAAGACACCTGCTGGCAGGACAGGAGTCAGAAAAGCAATGCCCCATTGAGAAACACAGGTTACTGTACATATTGTTACATCAACATGGCCTGTTATTGGCTTCATTCTTCCTACGTCGCAACAGCTTATCAATCAGACCAGGTGCTGTCACATCCACTCAACGGTGCCACTGTAGTTTGAAGGTGGTCCTAGACAAGATGTAAATGAATAATAAGCATAACTGTGCTTGTCCTGCCAATGGGTTTCAGCCCTGGGCAAGTTCACTTATGGATTCAATGTGACCAAAAGAAATGACAGTAAACCGTTCTTGGGGTGAAAGGGTTGTACCCAACTTTATTTCCATGGTGGCAGGTCAATCACTAAAATCCCGTTCACTCAGAGCGAGTCTGCATGCAGCAAGCTGGCTTGTGCCTCTGGTCCCCTCTACCCACACAGCTGTCCTCTGGGCCTCTGTCCTCAGTGCTGCCACCACTCCAGCCTCTGCTCTGCTCTCCTGCAGCCCTGCCACCATGTCGTGCCCAGAGCACTGGGCGGAGCTCTTTATATAGAGTCAACAGCCATGTATTGCCCACAGGTGTGCAGTGAACTGGTCAGTCAGGGCCAGCTGAGAATCCTGGCCACAGGAACTCTCATTTTGTCCACAGTCCACCCCTCCAGGATTCTCTCCTCTCAATCTATGTGCCCTTAGTCCTCTGCAATGGTCCCTGTGCAAGGAAGCTCGAACATTGTTCTCCAGCCTCTCCAGCAAAAAGTCTTGCAGACAACACAGGCCGGACTTGTGGCTCTGTCTCTGACCTCTGCCTCTTTAGTCTTAATGGCTGCTCTGGTTTCACTTGTTGCCATAGCTCCACTAAGATCCTATTTGGCTTCCTGTCTAATTTCCTTCCATCTACTCCTGCCTGTATCAAATCAACCCACATCTGGGTCCTCATAACCCTCACAAGGCCCCTCAAATTCCTCCTGTGAGTAATAGGTCTTATTTCTTTCCGGGTTCTCATTGCTTCAGCTACTGTATGTGTCAACTCACATTTTGTAATCGCTGCCTCAAGGCAGGCTGCACTGTTAGGGAAGGCAGCTTTCTCATCTTTGATCCTGAAAGAACAATTCCATCCACCCCTAAGTCCCACAGCCACCTGCACAGCCTGAGTATAGGGGCGGACCATAGAGTGCTCCACAACCTGGGGAGGGGCTGCTCCTCTCCTTGGAGAACTTTCAGCTGCTGGGTCTTCATTTTCTTTACAACCACGGCGTGCTTTCAATACAGGAGGGGCCAGTGTCTCTGGCACCACCCCTTCATCCTTCCCCAGCTCCTCCATTTCTGGGGCTGATGGCACCTTTCTCTCCCCTCCCCCGAGTGCCTCCTCTGCTACAGTGCCTTGCAGCAATGACAGCTCAGTCTTTGGAAGGTCTCTTACCTTCATCTCAATGCTTCGCAGCTGACATTCTCGTGCCACCTCTGCCTGTGCGTCCCTCAGGAGTTGGTCTTTTTCCTTGATGGCCTGTTCCTCCTTAACATCTGGCAGCGCTGCCATCTCGTCTCCAATGGCACCTTGCTGCTGGTGCTCTGTGCCACCTCCTTCCTCAGGGAATCCACAGAAGTTTGCAGCTCACGTTCTCATGCCGCCATTTCTTGGGTCTCCTCTGTAGACCTTTTTAAGACTGTGAGAAGCAGCCAACCCACAGTCCCCGCTGCCTCCTGGGCACTCTGCTTCTCAGAGGATCTGCTTACTATACCAGGGGCCACCCCTACTGCCTC